TCAATATAACTTAGTAATAAATAATTTATAACATAATAGTTAATCAGTAACAACTTAATAATAAATTATGCATAATTTAATATAAATCAGTAATAACTTAATCGTGAATCATAGATAATTTAGTGGTAAATCATAAATAATTTTGTGATAAATAATTATAAATTAAGTAGTAAGTCAATGATATCCTAATAGTAAATATATAAAAATGTAATAATAAATCATTGATAATTTAATAGTAAATTAATAACTTAACAGTAAATTGCTAATAATATAATAGTAAATTACTAATAATTTAATTGTAAATTAGTGATAATTTAGTAGTATATTAGTTAATTATTGATAACTTTTTAGTAATTTATCGATAAATTAGTAATAAATTAATTATAACTTTATAATAAATTACCAATAACTTAATAGTAAATCACCACCAATTTAATAGAAATCATTTACAGCTTAATAATAAATATTTTATAATTTAATGATAAATCATTCATAAATTAGAAGTAAATATCATTGATAATTTAGTAATAAATAACTGATAAATTAATTGTCAGATAACTTTTTTATACTTGAAGTTGCCTATGAACCTTAGTTACTAATAGAAACTAAGTCAAAACTTTCATTTTAACAGCTAGGATAAACTTACCATGAACTTATTCAATAAAAAGAATTTGTGAAAAAAATTATAAATTTAAATAAAACAATAATGTTATTATGTGAGAAGAAAATTATCTCATATATTATTAGTGGATTGTTTAGATTCCACTTTTCATGGTTTTAAAAGTATAATAGCATATTAGTAAATCAATAATAGGTTAATAAAAACAAGTGATAATTTAGTTGTTAATTATTAATAACTTAATAAAAAATCAATTATAATTTAATAGTAAGTAAATTTCAATTTAGTAGTAGTTAATTGATAAATTTAGTAGTAAATTATAAATAATTTAATAATAAATCAATGACAATTTAATAGTTTATTACTGAAATTTAAAAGTAAATCAATATAACTTAGTAGTAGTTAATTATCAATAACTTAATAGTTAAATAATTTAATAGTAAATTATAGATAATTTAATATAAATTAGTGATAACTTGATAATAAATCATGGTTAATTTTATAATAATTATGTGATTATTTTGTAGTAAATAATAAAAAATTAAATAGTAAATTAATGATAACAAAAAAATAAATGCATAATAGCATAATAGTAAATCATTGATAATTTATATATAAATTATTGATAATTTAGTAATAAATTAGTGATAATTTAGTCGTAAATTAGTTAATTATTGATATCTTTGCAATAAATCATCAATAAATTAATAGTAAATCAATTATAACTTTATTACAAATGATCAATAATTTAGTAGTAAATCATTAACAATTTAATAGTAAATCATTCATAATTTAGTAATAAATTATTCATAAGTTAATAATAAATCAATGCTAATTTTGTAGTAAATTATTGATAATTTAATAATATATCATTGATAACTTAGTAGTAAATCGTTGATAATATAGTAATAAATTAATGATAACTTAATTGTCAATCATTGATAAACTTTTTGGACTTAAAGTGGCTAGGAATTGAATCTTGATTATTAGCAAAAACGAAACTTGAAATCTATCTTGGGAGATTTGGATAAATATATCACGAACCTATTTAATAAAAAATTTACTAAAAAAATTTTAAATTTGAATGAAATAATATTGTTATTATATAAAAAATTATCTTATACTAGAATTGAATCTAAGCTTTCTTACGAGAATCCATTATTAAATATATGATAATTTAAATTTTATCAACAATTACTAAAAATATATTATAAGTTACTAAAAGGTTAATTATTAAAATTACATCAAGATGTTATTAAAATTTTATTAATGATTACCAAAATTGTATCAAAAGTTACTAAAATTTTATAAAAATTTATCAAAATCAAAATTAAATTAATATTATTTATCATTGTTATCATAATATCAAAAAAATATATTAATATGAATTTTTAAAAATAAAAATTATACATACGTCATGCACATATTAAAAACTAATATATATATATATATATATATATATGATTGCTTTTACATCTAAATAGATATTTTATAACTAATTTCACTAAAATCAATCTCATCATCCGTTCATACGATCTTAGATTGAATGATTTCGTATGGTGTTTTAAGGCAAAGCACCCTTCATCGTCCCATGTCTCTCCAACACTGATTCTTCTCTTACAACTTTTTACTTTACTGATTTCAATCTCATCATTAAACCCAAAACCAGAATTCCCACGTAAACCACCCCACTTCAACTCCTACCCATTCTGAAATACTTCAATATCTATCAAAGACGTAGCTCAATCTCTCATTTCTCTTCTGAACCTCTAATAAAAAAATCCAAAAATTGTCCAACAATGCTTCAGAAATTCCAAGACTTGCAATTCCTGCTTGTCAATGGTGTTCAGAGTCTCTTCATGGGATTTCCAGTAATGGTCCAGGGGTTTCCTTTTAACCAAACGAGGGAAAAATATATTTCCTCCATTTATTTCATTCCTTTTATTTCCCTCTGACATTCACAACGTGAGCATGCATTCCAATGAGATATTGGAGTCTTAATGCTCTTTCTTTTGTAGACAAGCATGGTCCAGGCTGTTGTTCACGTTATAAAAGTGAAGGTCCAGATCTTCTCGTTATGAATGAATGCGGCTTTTCTTTTTTCTTGTTGTTAAGTTTGACCTTTTTCGTCATTTCCGTATCTTCACGAGACAATCTGTCCCAAAACTCTGTATCACCTTGCATGTGCTGGCCATTGCTGGGTCTAGGCTCACATGCTTGAATATCATCAGCTCCAGACTGGCTCTGACTAGTTGGCTCTTTCCCGGTATCATTGGCGGCTGGATTTCACATTTTTGGTCTAAAATATCAGCAACTTGTGTTTATCACATTCTCTAGATTCCAATCAAGCTTAACCTACAGTTATGATTTTCTTCAGCTGATAGAACACTAACCAGTCACTAATGAAAAAAAAAATGGAAAAACACAAGTTGAGCATCTGTAAGTTGATTCAATTGGTAAGGAATGTCTTGGCTTACATAAAAAGTACACGTCAACTTCATGCCTATGTAAGGAGTTGGAAGATAAAAAAAACATGGTGCGTGCCATAATGGAAAAGCATGGTGGATTACATCACAGAAGTTTTATATTGCATGGCAATGTATCACATGGTGTAGTCAATCCCATCATCATCCGATGTAAATTTCCAGAAGCTTGTTATCATTTTGGACTGCATATGTTTTTCTGGTCTCATGCAGATTCTTCATCTGCTCATTCAATATAAATAATAGCTATAAAAAGTATAAGGGTGCTGAATTGTACTCCCTCTAAATAATTACAGATTGTCTAAACATTAAATTTTAGTATAAAAAACATCTAAAATTTAAATATAATCACAAATATGTCACTCATATGTCTTGTAATGCCACCCCACCTTTTTTTTTACAACAGCAAATTCCAATAAAGAGTTTTTTGGTACATGAATTCCAATAAAGAGTTGTTAAATTATGATAAAATCCCAACCTCTTCTTCTTCTCCTTATTTTTTTTTTCTTACATTCTTGACATATTTTGCTTTTTTATGAATGTCAAGAATTTACGTGGCTTGTTTGATTCCAAATAAGTCTGAATAAGGAAACCTTTTTCCATTTGTTATCCTAATGAAAACTTATGCTAATAGAATGGGTTTTTTCTTGTCTATAAGAAAAAAAACCATCAATTAATGTGCTCATCAACGTCTGATCCGGAGATGTGATTTTATCAAGACGTATTAGCATGACATACTTCTGTTTGAACAGGAGTTTGAAATAAAAGTTTGTAAAAAAAAAAAAAAAAAGATAGATAAGACGATAAAGGTGAGATCCAATATATAGATCTAACTTTCTATTCGTTATGGGATTTGGGCGTTCCAAGGGAACCACCTAAAAAAGACTATATACGATCATTAAAGAAAAAGAAGAAGAATAGGCAAGCAATATCTGTCTTTCTTTTTGACAAAGTGAGAACAACTTCATGCCAACCATGGCTAAAATTAAAAAATGCCAACTAGGGAAATTTTTTTTTTTGTTCTGTGGAGTAGTTTTCTAGGGTGGGAACAACTAGCCAATTTCATTAACATGCAAAAATGCAAACTAGGGAATTCTTTTGTTCTGGGGAGTAGTTTTCTAGGTGGGGGACAACTAGCCAATTTCATTTCTCTCATAAATTTGGGTTTGAACTAAATTCACTATCTAAAACTTCCCAAGATAAACCCAAAGATAAACAATAAAGCAAGCAATAAAAAATACAAAATCATAAAAAAAAATCAATATGTTCAACATCTCTATACAAAAAAAATGTTGAACATGCATGTTACTTGTAAAAGAAAAGTGTAATTACAAACTACTGTATGGAAAATTATATATCTTAGATTGAGTTTTAGTGGTACAATGGTTCAAAGGCTAACTTTTTGCCATCATAGGTAATAAACCTTTACAAAACAAGAACTAAGAATGCTAAAAAAAACAAAAATTCCTAATTGAATTTTCCCGATCTGATCTTCACAAGAGTGGGGTTATTTTTTTTGTATAAAAAGTCGCATTTTAAAAATAAAAAAGAAATTATAACTATTAAAATTAAAATTAAAATTTATTCGATATTAATAATTTTTTAAAATGATTATACAGTAGAATTAAATCTTAAATTTAAAAGTGAGTTTGCTCTAGACAAAAAGTAACCAAATTTTCTTTTGATTTCATTTAGAAAATATGACGTACTGCTGAGCTGTCTCAAGGATCCTAAGGCTTTTGCTTGCACCACTCCACTCATTTCTTCACTAAGCAATCCAATGGCCATCTGTCATGACATTAGCTCTCCATGTAAGCATATATAAACCTTTTCTCAATTTAACACGTCATTATTTTGAGTTTGCGGGGGCGCCCGAGGCAATGATGAACTTCGAAGAAACCAGATAAAGTGATATAGACAATGAGAAAGTTTGAATAAAAAACAAAACCAGATTGTATTCCACCATCAAAAAAGCGATATAGACAGCAGCGCAAACATAAACTGTGCCACCGAAAGGAAACTGATTGAAATCTTTAATTTTTGACATATAAAAACCCCACCAGACATACCCCAAACTCTTTCTTCCCAAGCAAATTTATCTTATATAGTCAGTTCTATAAATCTTTGTCTTTTTTTGTGTTTATTTTCAGTTGCAGTTTGCAAATATGAGTGACCCCAAGTATGCTTATCCCTACCCTGCTCAAGGTACTCTGTTTTTGGTTTCCCTTTTGTGTATTTTCCCCTTAGATTTTACAGTAAGCAAAGTTATTAAGTTCCCAGTTATCTTATGTTTACGGTCAGGGGATTCTGTTTGCTAGGATTATTTTTATTCCAAAAGAATTGAGAATTTATGGTTTTTTTTTTTCCCTTTCTTGGCTCTTTCCCTTGGATTAAAGAAAATTATGTGTAAATATTTTGTTGTAATTTGGTTTAGTTGGTTTGATGTCTGAATTTTTGGTTACCAGGTTATTATCAAGGGCCCCCGGTGATGGCACCACCACAATATGCTGCTCCACCTCCACCACCAAGGAGAGAACTTGGTTTCCTTGAGGGCTGGTATTTCTTCTTCACATGTCCTCACTTTTCATCTTTTTTTTTTCCTATGTTATATTTTATTTTCATGGTTCAATACTTCAATTTTAAATGAATTTTTTTTTTTTGTGTTTAATTCAAAATTTTGTTTGTTTGCAGTCTTGCAGCTTTGTGTTGCTGCTGTCTCATTGATGAGTGTTGCTGTGATCCTTCCATCATCTTTGTGAGCTGATAACGTCTGTAATTACACTGCATCATTAATCCCACTTTTATATTTTTTTTCTGATATAGATTGATAAAATGTAATGTAATGCAGAAAGTCTGATCTTAAGGAATCTTTTTAATAATTTATAAATACTAGTAGTGCCTTTTATTTTGCGCGCGTGGTTTGAACTTCAGGTCTGTTCCTTGAAGTTGCTGTATCTTTATCCGGTTAATTTTCTTTAGCAGTGAAGATAAAGAACATTATCAAATTTGTAATTGTGAAGGAGCTTCCAGATGTATAGTCTCCGGACCTTTTTTTTTTTTCTCAATAATTACACTGCATATATACTTGCAATTTTAAACACCATACGATAAAATTAATACAAAAAAATATTAAAATAATACAATTTAAAATTTTAATTAAAATTATATATAAATTGTTAAAAATAAAAATAAATTTTATATTTAATATGTTCGATAAAATTTATAATACAATAATTTTTATGATTTATATATATTTAACGTAAAATAAATAGACATAAAAACTTGAATTCAAGTGCCCTTTTCTACTTATTGTTACTAATATTTCTTCGGACTTGAGATATTAAAATTATTTTATTAAGGAATAATAGTGTTTCTGTTCATAAATGGAAAGAAGAGTTAATTTTGGGTAATGAATGTAACATTGGTGGTGGTTCAGTTTATTGAGTTGTAAACAGTTCAGTCTGCTAAGTTTTCCAGAGCTGTGGGGTCCTAAGGTGATTGAAGGCCAGAAGAAGTCAACAACAATAATGGTTGATCAAATCACTTAAGTTTTGCTTTAGAGGAAAGATCGAAAAAAAACAAAAGAGAAAATAAAATTTTATAATTTAATGATTAAATTAGAAGGTAAAAAAATGATTGTGAATTTTAATCATTGTTTTTCATTATCACTCTTTTTCATCTTTCCTGCAAATGATTATGAATTTTAATCATTTTTTTTTTCATTATCACTCTTTTTCATCTTTCCTGCAAAGCAAAACGAGTGTGAAAGGCTGGAAGTAACACCTCTCCTACGCAAATAAAGGTTAAGAACTGTTTAGTTTTCCAAATGAGAACCTAATTTTAGCAGAGAAAGATTGCCAAAAAAGAAAAGAAAATTGAGGCAGAGACAAGCATAAAACCTGCCATGAACCCTGGCTTTTTGTACATATATTATTGGGTTTTGGATTATATATGAAGGAAGGCAGTAGTAGTCTTCCATTTTATTAATTAATTTCATTCTACCATTGAAGTTACCTTCAAGCACGGTCTTTATTCCTCTATGTGGGGGAGGACCAGGCCATGCGGCATTATCTGAGTCTTAGGTCTGAGTTGGAAACTTGCAATGTTTGGTAGTCAAACCTTGTGAGTCATCTTATTCTTATACGCGTCTGGCATGGTTTTAGAAGGAAAGGCTTTTAGCCGCACAAAACTCAACGAATTCGCATGTGGGTGTCCGATGCCTTAATTATTATAATAAGCTCAGCCCGTTCGTTGGATTGAGTGGCTCAATGTTTAGGTATCTGTTTATAAATTGGGAGTTGGGGCCTGGGGGAGAAAATTCAAGGATGTTATTAAGGACAGAACGATGTTTGAGTTTTTTTTTTTTTTTTAAATAGTATATGTTATTATATATTATTTTAAATTTTTTAATTTAATATAAATATTCATAAATTTGTATATAATAATACTATTAATAATTTACAAAATTATAAGTAATATCTTAAAAAACTAAATAAATAAGTTTAAAAATAAAAGAAATAATATCTTTAATTTATTAATATTTTTAAACACTTAATTTGATTATATAATATTTAAATAAGTATTTTTTATGTAAATATTAAGATAAAAGTAAATAGATGAAAAAACTAACCTTCACTTCATAATTATTAAATTTTAAAGAACGAACACAATTGTTTTCTTGAAAAAAATTAAAATATTTATGAATTTTACTTTGAAAAATAAAATATAAAAAAATTGAAAAACAAAACTTTCAAGAGTTATTATGTCAATTAGTTTTATTTTTATTAAGTTAAAAATAATCACATAATAAAAAATAAATTAAAAATTACAAAACATTTAATTTATTAAAATTTAATGAAATTAGTTAAAACCAACGAAAATAATTAATATTATACAATACTAAATTCGATACAAAAAATTATTTTTAAATATATCATATTTTGATATAATTAAAATATATCGACTTATACAATCAATATTAAAACTAATTTAACAATATTGAAAAAATTCCAAAGGTGTGCTAACATTTTGCCAAGGCTCCAGCATCACAAATTATATATTTTTTGTTGAAATTGCGAGAATTTAAAATTTGATAAGTGAAATAAAAAATTTAGCCTTTTACTAACAAATCACATCACATTATCGATAGGTCACAAATTATATTCTTAATCCCATCTTCATGGCTTAAAAAAAAGAAAAGGAATTGTTAGAGTTGGAGCCAAACAACAGGCGAGTTTTTCTTTTTCTATTAAAAGGATCAATAATCAATGACAGATCTACAAAACTTTAATTTTACTGAAAGAGACGGATAAAAGCTTTTCACCTCTAACATCAAGAATGCTGCTGATAACCAAGCAAAGCCTGTAGAGAAGCCGTAACAATGAAGAAATCGACAATTCCATGTGACCCTGAAGTTGGTTTGCTTTATAACATGGCCTTCATTTCCACAGCAAAGTTATTAGTAAGGTTGTAACCCTGAAGAGGAAGCATAGAATAGAATAGTCGCAGTGCTGGACCAACAAAAGCCATTGTCATGCTTCATTGTACAAAAATTCTCCCCTACATTAAAAATGCATGCTTTTCGCTGACTTCTCTTTTTTTTTTTTTTTTGGTTCAGGGCAAAACCCTATTATAAGAAAAAAGAGAAAGAGACTTTGATTCGAAACCAAACCGTTATGTTTTCTTAAAGGCTTCTGTGGCCACTAGGCCACGAAGCGGAAGACAATTTTTCGCTAACTTTTCATTCATGCAAAAACAGTTAAAAACTTTTAAAATCATGACAAGACTTTGAATTCCAAAAGAAAGAGTGATATAATTCACCGAAATTCACCATTAACTAGAATTTTTAGATAGTAGTATCACGAGTACTTTAATACATTCATCAAAGAAGTTTATTGTTGTAGGAAACTATATATGGAATCTGAAGAAACAAAACAGAATCTTAACTTCAGGCACAATACATACAAGGACACAAGCTTCATGCAATAGCTGCACTTATTCACGAGGGGGGAAATGGAAACAAGAAGTACTAAATGCAATTGTGTATTGGACAGGCACTGTGTATGATGGTTATTAAAAACTTGCTAGGGCTACATCAAGATGCGTCCGAGTGTCTGCTAATATTCACTTCCATAGACATCAAGCTTTTACAGCCTCCTCCATGTATGGGGGATTTTCACATCCATTAATTTTTACCAAATTCCCGGTTTCACCACCAGTTTTTATATCGTCGACAAAACCACTGCCACAACTGCCACAGCCTGTGGTCCTCACCTTGCTTCCACAACCTCCGCCACAGCCACCGCCACAGCCACTGCCACAGCCACCGCCACAGCCGCCACAACCACTGCTATTAACCATGCTTCCACAACCACCACAACCAGCACCACAACCACCACAACCGCTGCTATTAACCATGCTTCCACAACCACCACAGCCAGCACCACAACCACCACAACCACTGCTATTCACCATGCTTCCACAACCACCCCCACATCCTGCACCACAACCACCACAGCCACCACTTTTTACTGCAGTTCCTTTCTCACCTCCATAGTCCCCATTGGATGAACCATCTTTTTTGGGTATCATTGCATTTTCCAGGCTCACATCATCATCCGAATGGACTTCAGTTTCTAGGGAGGCAGCCAGGTTAGCATGCTGTTCATTCTCCACATTTATCTTTTGTGTAGCAGTATCTATCTCTTTTGTACTTTTGCCGTCCATGGTCAAGCAAATGTGTCCTTTCTTCTTTAATGTGTGAGAAACTATAAACGCTGATATCAATCCAGGCAAAACGAACCATTCCTCCTTTGCCTATTCATTTTTAATTAAAAGGTAGTAGCAGTAAGAGATAAAATTTTCTTTTGTGATTGTATATTTGTATGTGTAATGAATAGCTAACCTACCTTCAGATATCCAGATTTCAGGTCAAGCAATGCAACTGCTTTTCCATATGGATGTTCTGCAGAAAATTCAACTGCAGTCATAAAGTCACCTTCATTTCTCTGTTTCTCACAATATTTGGGTTCATAATCCAGTTTTCTGCCAAGAAAAACCTTTACCTGTTCAAAAAAGATAAGTTCAGTGGATGTAATTTGCTACAATAACCAAAACAATGGAAAGTTTAACTGCAAATCTATTGTTGTAATTATTGCAGTAAGATGAGTTCAGCAATAACAGTAAAAATTAGATAAAATGCATATCATTGTATATGCACAACTAAAACATGCAAATACTTGGGCAGAGAAAATTCCAAGTAGCAATAAAATACCTAATGTGGTTTCCATGAGCACTCTGCAAGAAGTGAATGAATGTTTTGGGTAGCCAACCATGCAAACTTCTAGTAAGTTCAAGGTATTGAACGTCCTATATGACATGTAGGGGATGTCTGTGTGTGCACATGTACATATGCAGGTATGTGGAATACGTGAGCTTCTGGGCCAGATCAGGTTGGCTGTTGAGATAAAAACAACCTTTACTACTTTACGCTTGAGTTGCCAAAACGAAAGCTCTACTAGGATTTGACAATAGGGTGATAATGTTGTGACACAGTCTAAAATAATTGTTTTTGGCCACATGGATGTCAGAGAAGAAATTTTGCTATAAGCTAAGGAAATAATGGATGCATACCATTCTATTGCCTTTAATATCAAAGAGATGACCATTTTCACTGACTTCTTCTGAAAGCTGAAGGACCCATTGAGAATCCATCAAAGACCAATGAGTCCCAACGAACTCTGCTACAGCATGTGTTTCGCCATGCTTTGTGATACCAATTACTTGCTTCCTTGAGAGGCAGTTTTCTTTTATCTTTGCCTTTCCAGATTCTCTATAATCAAGCCCCCAAATGTTAAATTATTGCTGAACATTACATATCTTGCAACTAACAGCGGTGAGCAAACAGAAAGATGAAAGGCACTATAATTTGTTTTACAAAGAATTATCATGGCTTTAACATAAAGGTCAACGAACAGAAAATCCCTGAATCAAGTAATGTCCAAAACAAATGAACTAAATTATAGTTAAAAAATCCTAAAAATTGTTTGTATGTTTTTAATTTTATCATGAGAAATGGATTTACCAGTTGAACAACGCTTTGTGAGATGAGTAAAATTAAAGGTCGTCCAATGGCAAGCATCTAAAATACTGGTTGATATACACCTTACTTTCAAAATCTAGGAAAAGTGAGAGCTCTTTTGGGAATAGTGTAGCATAACCAAAGATTCAATTTGGAAACTGCAGAATTTCTGATATTAGAAATTGGGACAAACAAGTAGGAAATTCTAGTGTCACATAGAATCTATATGAGATTATGCAGTGTTAATAGCATGTCTACCAAACATTTCCACTGAAATGTTTATTGAGTAGTCCATTACGTGTGTATGCTATTATTACCATAAAAATAAATAAATTAATTAACTAACAGCAAGTACGTACACATACAGAGACAGAGAGAGGTAAAGATACACATGAACAGACAGGGATACAAATATCTAATAACACACAAAAGTACATGGAAAGTAATTTTAGAGTTGCTAGCCGGCATAAAATTTGGATGAAAATGTAAGTATACCTCATTTGGAGTCTTATAACCTCAGCTTGAGTTTCATCAATGACACGAGTGCAACTCTTACCAGCTGGAACCCTTCCAGCTACAGGGAGCTGAAAACAAGAACCTTTCGAAAAAGGACGGGACCTAACCATGTGAAGCACATGTTGTGCTATTGTAGGAACCGTAAATGAAACAGCAATGTGTAGGCCAATGGGTTTTGATGGTCCATTTCCAGAACTGGGAATCAAGTCCAACCATTTTTCCACAGCAAGTTTAGAAACCGGAAGTAGAAACTCTTTTAAAGAGAGTGAAGCAGTACCTAAAATTTTGCATGTCTTTGTTCCTGTTAAGTTGGAAGCTGAATGTGATACAAGTTCAAAAAGCAGTTCGCCAGTAGGTTCACACTGAAACAAAGCAACCTTTTTCTCCCCAGACTCAGAAAAGATAGTCAGTTTCTGCTTAGTATTAAAGAATGCATCAGGTTGAGTTTTACTGAACAGGACAAAGAGGTTTCCCTTTTTCTCATCTGGTAAGTTCTTAACTCCTACAAACTCCAAAAGGACCTGAAAAAAGCATTTAACATAATGAGGAAAAGACCTTTAAAATATGAAAGCTGCATCAGTACCCCTGGATCCAGGCTAAATATAACAAAAATCCAGAAACTGTGTAATTTATTACAATCAAAATGAGTTAACAACAAGCGGCACCTACTTGCAGAAGAACAGTAATGGCTTTAACTACATAGCATTGTAGAATTAATATCAGAAGTTATGTTATTCAATCATCTTTAAACTAATAATGATGTAGCTGTAAATTGTGATCTAACAACATGTTATATAGCTTCTTCTCTTTTTCAGTAAAAATTCTGAGGACACAGCACGGCTTTGTCTTCAAAAGAGATAGCATATAGATGGTTGCCAAGAAATTATAGCATGTATCAAGAATGTTACATATGCAGATAAAGTTAAGCTTCAAGGATGGGCATCATAACACAAGAACACGAAACTGGCAGATAATAAAGGATCTCTTATTTCATAAAATGCTAAAGAAAAAAGTTAACTAAATCTACCTCTACAACCTTCATCTCTGGAAGCTTCAAAATTTTTGGAAACTTATTTGAGGCATCTACTTCCTTACTCAAAATGTTGGGCATGCAAGAAATGACTGTGAGAGGAGAAGGAGAAGTCCCTCTATACATGGCCCCTGCCTTCCAGTACCTTATGCCAAATGTCTCTTCCCACTGCTTAGTAGTCCCGGAAAACCCAACATCAAGCTTCTTCCCCTTAGTTCTGTCTGAGTCTGTATCATCATGCTCCAATATCTTGCCAAGTGCTTTATTCAAATCTTTGCAGTAAGAGACAGGATGCAACTGGTGGGTGTGCCAGATAAGGTCAATGTCATAAGTTGGAACGCAGAAGCACTTTATGGACTTCTTTCTATTTCTCTTGATCAGATGAAGGAAACCTTTATATCTGGCTACAGCTTCCTTAATAAAGATATCATTGTTCATATGGGCTCTGGACACCTGTCATAGAAAACAAGATCTGGATGATTGTAAAGAAGAACTGAAAGATGGCAAAGGTGAGAATCTAAATCTTCAATTTTATGTGGCTAAACTATGATCTATTATGTAAAGCAATTTCCAAACTCAATACGGGTTTGCAACCAAACCAGATACCTTTAGCATTGCATAAAGCTTTTAACCTGACAATGGATTTTTTCGAGCCCCATACATGATTTTCTCGATTGATAACAAATCTAGGTTGAAAATTTTAGTCTCTCTAGTGGCTAACAACTCATCTTCTAACCTACATTAAAGATATCACAAATTGGCAAACTAAATGCTTTAACATTATCTAACCTTCAAAAGTATAAGATGAATGCTGAAAAAATCACAATTTCAAAAAGCTAAAATGATCATTCTTAGAATTACCTGATAAAAGAAAGGACTCTGCCTTTTGACAGCTGAAATTAGATCATATTTAGTGTGTTTTTCAAGTCCAGAAAGTGTTTCAGAGGCATTTTCAGATAATGCTTTAATCAAGTCAAAGTCATAAGGTTCATCTGGATAAAGTCTATTCCAAATTTCTTCTGTTTGCCTTTTGCATGTGCCTTGAAGAGAAGATACAACATTAGAGTTGTCGAGGATCCTTCCATAAAGTTCCTCACAGTCACACTTGTAACGAACCTGAATTACAAAAACAAGAAATCCAGCTTAGCAAATCAAAATAAAGAACCAAAAAGAACCAAAATTTGTTATACTTGTATTTTCCAGTTTAGAGGCATACTGGATTTAGCCTGTGACAATGCCAAATCCATTCACAATCAAGAGGAACAACCAGAGGCCCTTCTGAAATCTCTTCCTCGTAAAATTTGGCAAGCAAGGGAAGCCAGCAAGCATTGTACCTGAAATTAGCATGTCTTAAAAAGTCAAACTTCCATTCAATATGCACATAAAATCATGATCTACTTCCCAGGAATCATAATAAAAGCATGAATCCAATGGAGTTTATACTAGGAATCAAATTTGAAAAGCCACTGCCAAGTAAACATATATGGTAATTACAAAAGACAACCAAGAATAAAAAAAAAAAAAATCTAAATCAACACTACCCAACCCCCCCCCCCCCCCCACAAAAAAAAGGCTCAGATTTTGGAAATTGGAAAAAGATGATTCTAGCAACAACAAAAGAAGTTAAAATAATCAAGAAATTGAGCTGTGAAATTGATCACCTGTAAATGGCTCTTTGGAGAGTAGGACCATCGTAGAGCCAACGATTCCTATCCACAGCTGCAAGAAACTCAAGCTGTTTCTTGGCTGCATCCACGAGGTCCAAACTTATCTCTATCTTCTGTGCTTCTATCCATTCCAATTCTTGCTTTTTCTCTAAATCCATCTCTTAATTCCCACCTAACAAACAACCCCATCAATCAAAAAAAAAAATCAAGGAAAAATAATTAACCCAATAAAAAGAATTATATAGTTGAATTTGATAACTGATAAAATGTTAAAAGAACTACCGGAAAAAAGTCAGGCAACCGCCTGAAAGGCAGAGGGTGCAAAATCTATGTCGTGTAGTTATATTATTTCAGCTGGCTTTGGCTTCCTTGCATTATCAGTTGCGATATTTATGCTGACTTTAATAGGATAGTTTTGTCTGAAACTTCAAAGAAGTAAATTAAATTACGAAAACTTTTACTTTCAATTTTTTGTATTTTTTCTCTCCCTTCGTTCAAGTGATCAAATTACTCTTTTACTTTGGACATTATCCTTTGATGTATTTCTTGAAGCAATTATATATTTACCTTTGGGAGTCAAAGATCTTATTCACATAGGATAATATGCTTCAATTATTTTATTTCTCTCGACGCAATTTCCATGTTTTTTCTTTTGTTATAATGAAATACTACTAATACTACTACAGAATTGTATAGGCGGAAGTTAAACAAAATCATGAAAGTGACCAAAATAGTGAATTAAATTAAAAATGAAGGATTGAATTTTATATTGTAATATTAACAAATTTTTTGGGGTTATGGCCCTTCCCTTAAATTCATCTATTGGTTGCATCTTTATCATATATAAATTCATAAATTTATTATTATGATTGTCCAAGAAGAAACAAAATACATAGAAACGGAACCTCCACAACAAAATTGGACAGAGCCTAGTTAAAATGACCCATGAGCTCTTTGCCTAGTGGTGAGATTTTTACAAACTTGTGATCTAATCTAAAGCCCTGAATCGTTTCTTTTGCTGACCTAAATCAGTGAAGAACTCCAAAAATTAGTACAAAAAATGAAGAAACTTCCAAAAACTTAAAAAGCTTTTGCGTAGAGAATTACACTGCTAATTTCATTGGTTGATAAACATTGACGTTTTTTTTTTCCAGTAACACTGACTTCTTGGCTTTCTTTTCTCTTTTCTATTTCATTTGGTGGGAAAATATATGGCTAGAAGACAGGAATTTAGCCACAATTATTAGCCTTTTGCCCTTTTTCTAATCTCGAATGAGGAATTGAATTATTAAAATCGTAGGCTGATGTGGATCCAACGCCGGTCAGGATGTTGATGTCTCTTTTCTGGTTGATTTCTGTCGTATACGAACACGAGAAGCGGAGGGAAAGGGTGTTTAGTACAGAAAGTGAGATGTGCAGTACAATGCTTGGCTCATCGTAACTGCAAAAGCCATGTGCTGTTTGAATCATTTGAAAAAGAGAACTGAATCTTCCATTCCAAAAGTGTTAAAATCCATGACCATTACATTTGTATCTCTTTTTTTTTTTTCATGTATATACTTCCTACTATACAAAGCCTAACAAGAAACATGTGGACAAATTACAAGAACTACATATAAATCAAAAAGGTTGATACAATATTTGCCAAATTCTTGATCTAATTAATAATTGCAAAATTATTGTTTAGAGACCCGTGATATTATCAGGGATCATGTCTTTTGACTCAGCTCATTTCCTGGCCTCCTGATATTCTGCTTCTGGGGTCTGATCCTCGCCCGTGGACCTTCCAGAGGAACCACCATCGGAACCAAAACCCTTACTAATGTGCTCTCCAATCTTTGAAACTGCCTTATTTGCAGCATCCATTTTGGCCTTGATTTCATCTGATGCAATCTCATTGGGAGTCTTGTCTCTTTACTCACTCAAGCTCTTCTCAATATTATATATGCTTGTGTCAGCACTATTTCTCAAGTCAATGAAAATTCTTCTCTCTTCATCTCTCTAAGAATGCAATTCAGCTTCCTTCACCTTCTTAATCTCATCCTCTGAAAGACCACCAGATGATAGGATTGTGATCTGCTGTTCTTTTCCAGTTGGCTTATCCTTATAAGAAACATTTACAATCCCATTGGCATAGCAAAAAGACCTCCATTTGGATTGATCTGAAGCCGCAGTGAGACGCATTAATCATCAAGTTCACTGGACATCCGGTAGGATGTCACCCTTCAGTGAAATTGGAAGCTTTTGTACAGCACCAGAGTTAGAATTTTAACTGGGCTCCAGAGGAAATTCTTCATTCCTCCATCCCCACTTTGTTCCCATTTTACCTCTTATTTTTCACTTTTTTTTTTAATTTTGTTATCCCTTATTTAATTATTTAATTGATAAATAAATTTATATTATTGATTTTTTTATGTGTTAATTTTTTTCATTTTTTTATGTTTTTAAATCTTTTTCAGAAATGATTTTTATTTAGATATAAAAGTTATCATATAAAAAATACAAAAAAATTGAATAATTGTCCAACCATATATACAAATTTTAATTTAATATCTTTATTAGTCAATTTTTTATTTTAACTATACTTCACCTCACCTCACCTCACTGCAGCATTCACAATTATCCCTGCTTGAATTCAAAAGACTTACATAAACGCCTTTGCAACCTATTCTACAATTTAAATCCTCAGGAACATAACAATAGAACTTAAAGAAATAAAAGAAAATTAAGATAAAAGAAGGTACTTGTGATTTGAATATTTTTCATCTCCTTAAGATGCAATAATCAAGAAAAAGACTAAGATGGTTGTGGAGTCCTTTGCTGATGCCCAAGCACTATTTATCAATACAATCAAATGAAGAGTCAAGTTCCTTTACCTTGGCAATGCTTTTGATCTTTTCACATGCCACATCCACTGAAGGAGAATTTAGTATGTCATCAAATTTTGCCTGGGCAGCATCTAAATTCTCCACAGCCTTCAGTTTCTTATCATAAGCAGAGACAACAGACAAGCATCTTGCTGCCAGTCTAGCGACCTTTGCTCCAAAAAGTGTTGACCTTTGCTCCAAAAATAGTGAACTCCTCCAGCCTTACTTTTTATAGTGTGAATGGGTACTATCTTGGTACGTGGGCAGTTGGTTGATATACACTTGGCTTATTATTGGCCAAGTGTCAATCACTTGTTTAGCAGTTAATTGACATTGACAGGATTGATTGCCACCTGTCAATTGACCAATGAGAACTGATCCTAACTTAGTAATCAAAATGTCGACAAGACGATTAGTGTATAACAATTCAATTATCTTCAAATGCAAAGACGATGTCATGGAGTTAAGGCGACTCACACCCCTCTTTTCTATGTAGGGATAACCATTTTACCCATAAATCTCATTTCTTTCCCATCAATCAAGTGATTTCATAACACTTAACTTATACCAGTCTCATTTAATGGTCTAATGGTTCTTTGCGAATACAATCCATTAACATCTGTGTAGATGGAAGAGGCAAAGGCTTCTTAAATTTATGAGACCAAATAGATTTCACTAGAGAAATTGTAACCATGAGCCAACAAGATTGTATTTTTTTTTTTATTTCTCAATACAATATCTCTTTTACTCCAATCCACATATATCGGATAATCATAAGAAATGGGAGCGGGATTTGCCTTCTTGATATCTAATTGTATGTTTTGATTTACTGAACAAAGAAACGAATCAGAAAAAAGAGTAAAAGGAAAAAGGAAGAAGAAAAAAAATCAAGTTTCAAATGGATTTTGATAAATTTTTTCTCTTTTCAAATAATTATGTTTCTTAACCATTTTCACATTATAAATCTTTCTACCTATTCATAAACTCTTACATCATAATAGATCCAACTTTTACATACATAAAAGCAAAAAGAAAAAGAAAAAAAGATGAAGAGGCTAGAAATTATTACCCAAAAAGAAAAAGATGATCATAAGTATAGTGATGCAGGAGTTTATAGATAGGAAGGAAGATTTATAATGCGAAAATGACAATGAATCATAGTTATTTAAAAGGAGAAAAAAATTACCAAAATCCACTTGAATTTTGATTCTTTTTTTTCTCTTTTTTGTTTTACTCCTCTACCTTTTCATTTTTTTATTCATTTTCTTTATTCAATTTTGTAAATCAAAATATGCAATTAGATATCAAAAAAGCAGACATGACTCCCAGATGATTATTTGCTATATGTGGATTGGAGGGAAAAGAGATATTGTACCAAAGAAATCAAGGAAAAATGCAATTTTGTTAGGCCATGGTTATTGGTTCTCTAGTGGAATCTAATCTCATAGATTTGAGAAGCTTTTATCTCTTCTATCAATAATTGTATTCGTAAGGAACTATTAGACTATTGTGAAGATAAACCAGACTGCTATAAGTTGAGTTTTGCAAAAGTACTTAATTGGTTGAAGAGGAATGAGATTTATGGAGAAAATGATTATTGTGGAAAAGACGGAGAGTGTCACTTCAGCTCGATTACATCAACCGTGCATATGAAGATAAGGAAATTGTTATATACTCGTCGCCTGGTCAACATCTTGATTGCCAAGTCAGTACCAGTTACCACTCCTCAATCACCAGACAGACGATTAATCTCGTCAACGCCACTTGTTTGCCAGACAAGTGACTAACACTTGGCTGATAACAAACCAACAACCAATATGCTATATCAACTAACTACCAAACTACCAAAGCAGTACCCATTCATATTATAAAAGGCAACGTTGAAGAATATGTACACCATTTGAACCTCTTTACTTACTCTTAACTTCTCCTATCTTCACCCTTACCCTAACCTTTTTACTTGACTTAAACGTTGAAGCGTGCCTCGAAGTGCTACCTCTACCGCCCTTGAATGTCCCTTGCCTTGCAGGTCATTACCATCCCAGTCAGCTTCCCCACAATCCTCCACAAAGCATCTAGTCACCATCTCCAAAAGACTATTAACAAATGACAAGTTGATATTTTAACTATTTGCTTATTACTATTAGCTCTACTCATGTCAATTTGGTCAATTAGCCTTGGCGGAATATGATATTTCAAATTTTGTTGGTCCAATCCCATTACCTCTTGGCTACCTTTAAAGTTTTTTAATTTAATTAATTAACTCCTCACATTTTAAATGACTCACATCCACTTCAAACTCACTCTTAGGTTCAGTTTTGGGCCTGACATGTCACCTAAATTTGAGACTCAAAGTGGAGATATATAGGATAGCCTTGACCCACTAACAAGGGATAACTAGACTTAAGAACCTGACCATGTTTTCAATGCCTTCAATTACCTTCTGAGGGGCAAACTTTACATGACAGAGACACGTTTGATTCCAGAAATCCTTGACATCAAGTTTAACACTCCACTTGTCGATTATGTTTGGTTTAAGGGTTTTGTGTCTAATGAAATTTCTAGACATATACTTGTTAAATCATCAGTACTGATTGGATGCAATGCTTAACATTTGAATATGTTTTCTCTTGTCTATGACATCTTATTGACACGTACCATAATCACCGTTCTCCTATATTCTAATGGTTGATTGAACAATTATCTCTGCTTAAATTTAAAGACTTACATACACGCCATTGCAACATATTCTACAATTTAAATCCTTAGGAACATTATTATAGAGCTTAAAG